AAATGACCAAGAACGCCAGTTGTTCACGCCAAGCTTGGGTGCTGAATGGCTCGAAAGGTTTGACTTCCAAAAAAAAGGGATGGTAGGTCTTCCCTTCTAGGCCTTCTGATTAACACCTCCGAGACCAGGTGTTTTACGCGATTGATTTTCATGTTTGTTTGTTTGTGGGATTGCAAAGGACCCTGCCGTCGCAGGACATTCCAAGACCGCCCGCGCGTTGGCGTTGGCAGCTTTGGGCCTCGAACCTCCTCGAGCAAAGCTTCTACGAAAGCTCGCCGTGAGGCAATGTCGGCTGTGGACGAAATCCGTTCGCAACGAAGGGAAACCACTGTTGGTTTTGCAGGCGGGAATCGAATCGTTCCAGGGTTTCTTAGGTGCTGCAAAATTTCGTCCATCAGCGGGTGTCCTTTTGATCGGTTTGGTTAGAAGTAGATGGGGTCCACCAGAAATATAGAAGGGTTTTATAAGCGAAGAACACTAGGCATTACGCATGTTAGACAGGGCGCGATGCCAATGATGCACCATCACTTACAAGACATGTTTGGTCAGTAGCCTTCATGTGGCATGCTTAGCGAGAAGGGACTCTTTGAGTGTAGTTTGCTAGGAGGAATCGTCATGTGTAGGGTAGACGTTGTCTGTCCACCGTTGCAGTTGTCATGTGTTTCATTTCTCCAAAGGTACCAATCCTCCAAACGCATCCGTATTTACCTCAAGCTGCCCGAGGGTTAAAAGGAGTGCGTCAGCAACTTACTTGACGACGCGCAGTGTTCTTTACCTTTTGGTGGCGACATTACTTGGAGCAGGTTTGGGAGCGCTTGAATCAAACACAACGAGCTGTTCTCATCTCGCTCCAACTGGTTATCAGCCGTAAGCGGCTCTTAGCTGGTACTGGATTGTGAAGCCACTGCCGAGCAGGCGAACCTCCCCATTCCGGACGATTTGTGGGAGCTGCTCAAGTGGCAAAGATCGCGCAAGTCAGAAGGCGACAATACTGAGACAAGTCTTGGCAGCCAGGAGGCTCCGAGTCCCAAGTTACCTTGGCTTTTTGAGCTAAGATGTCCTCGGCGACTTGCGCTCGTTGGCCCCCGTAAAGCCGTGAAAACTTGGCCTAATAACTCGCGCGGGAAACTGAAAGGCCGTTACTACTCCGTGAAAAAGCCGTGAAAACTCGTTGTCCTCGCGACACAAAAAACCTCCTTAGCTCATACGGCCAAAGTAACTTGCGAATCGGAGCCTCCTGGAGCAGACGGGGGGCTCGGATCGTAAAGTAATTCTACTTGATCGAGTTAAGCGCTTGAACCCGCCGGTGGAGTTGTGTGACTCAGCACCTACAGTCGCTGAAGAATCGCGTTCCGCATCTGCATCTTCTTCGACAGCTGAGACCGCCGCTCCAAGGAACACTTTTGAAGTGCGATCATTCAGGCCACCGGAACCAGAACCTGCAGCTGCTGCACAAGAGCCACCGAAGGAGTGGGCGGGCCTTATTAATAAGACTGCTCAATTCGTGGCTAGACTGAGGAAGCGAGACAGGAGTATATCGCTAGGACTCTTCGTGCGCAAGACCCTGAGAAGTATCGATTTCTGAAAGGCGAGGACGATCTGAACGTCTTTTTCCGAGCAGCGTTGGAGCTGGCAGTTCAAGAACGCCAGCAATTGAAGCTTGAGGGCGGAGGAGTCACAGCCTTTGCGGCCTGAGATCAACCTGCCGGACCGGGTTTGGTATCACGCGCAGGCGCGACCAGCCGGTTCCGGGAGGGCCTGAAACCTATCGTGTTCTGCGACTATTGCCATTGCCAGTGCTTGAATAGGCACAGGGACGCAGACGTTCAGCAAGGATTGCCGTTGAATACAACTGCGCTGCTTGATTTCGCGCGCAATTTCCCTGACTTGACAGCAGCGCAAGCCACAAGCGTCACATTGTCGGTTGGTTCGCTGACGCTCTGCCCATTGTCGGCCGTTGGGCACGAAGGCTGGACAATTGAGGTTGCGCAGATGGCGGATTGGGAGGTCGCATTCTGATGGTGTGATAGGGATCCTGCTGAAACCCCTGTTCGAAGGCGTCAGCCTGTTGCGAGTGCATTCCAAGGGGTAGTTGCCCAGCAGCACACCTCTCCGGCAGAATCAATTCCAATTCCTATGACATCATCTAGCAGTGATCCATCAATGGAGCCAAGAAAAATTGCACGTATCCATGGAGAGGGCAGACCATAGAATTGAGGCTAATCAGACCAATCAGAGCTCCGTGTGTAGTCAACAGCAGCAAAATTGCTGCGTGCTATCAACAACAGCAAAATGTGTCATGTGACCCAGAAACCCACAACCTTGCTGCGCAGGCTTGCAACGAACTAGATCATGTAAGGGCCCAAGCCACAGAGATCTACCATCAAGCTCAAACTGCCGTTGATAGTGCTCACAGAGAAAGGGACTATACTAGGGACCAAGCAGTTGTGGACTGAAGCCCAAGATGCCATGCAAAATGCACATGCCCAAATCCAGGAAAAGGATAGGATGCTAGTCATGGCAAAACCCGAGTTTGATGACACGCAGCAATAACTGCGTATGCTAGTGTCAAAACGAACAGGAAGTCATGATTCAAAGCATGCAGTATGGTGCTCCCCAGCAACTGACGGTGAAAAGCACAAAAGCTCCACCGGTTGGGGGAGGCGATCAAATGCCGCAAGCACCAAGCCAAGGCATTGAGGCAGCCCTCAGTTTCCTAATCGCTAAGGTCGAAAACCTGACTGGGGAAAGGAATGATTTGAAGCAACAGGACTCGTAGCGCCCATGCTCAGTCTTATGGCGACAAATCTAGATCGCGTGACCAGCCAGTAGCCAGGAAGCACGGCCTAACCGTGAGCAGATCCCAGAAGCGCACCTCAAAATCCTCTTTTCTAAGAGCCGTGCTAGCCGAAGTGATGAAAGTGAATCTGAGTCTGACGCGAATCCGTCGATCTTCTTCAAGTTCATCGAGTTCAAAGAGCTCAGGCGGGAAAGGAGGGGATGGGGGTGGAGGAAAGTGGTTATGACCCTTCTCAAAGTGACGATCTTTGCCGAAGGAAAAGAAACTGATGCGAGCCAAGGCTTATGAAACTTTCATGATTCCTGCGCTTCCCAAAAACGCTGCCGAAGCTAGGGGCTTTAGGAATCAGTTGCGCAGCAACATCACCAAGCTGGCAAAGGGCGATGAAGCACCCGTGTTCAAATGGATTGACAAGTGCTACCGCGAAGACGATGTGTCAAAGTTGAAGGATTCCGGCAGCTACCCTTTGTTGGATCTTTTGGGCCATCGGTTGTTGGAGCAAGCGAAAGGTTCTCGCTTTTCCATGGATTTCCAATCTCAGAAAAAGGGTTGCCGGCCAAAAGGGAGGGTACTCTTGTGGCATGTTCTTGCGAAGTACAAACTCGATTGCGACAGAGGCGCCTGTTTGACTCAGCATCACTTGTTGTCCTTGAAAATCTCGGGCAAGGATGTGAAAGCATTGGAGAGTTTTAGGACTAAGTATGACTTCGTGTTCAACTGGCCGAAAAGGACGAACGTCCGAGCGAAAGCTCACTTAGGACTCACTTGTCCGAAGAGCTCAAAGAGCATCCTCTAATGTTGCTGCAGATCGACAAGTTCAGGTTTGCTAAGCCCGCATCTCACAAGAGAGCTTCCAAATGGCTGTATGACAAAATGGGTGAAGCCATTGACATTGCCCAGGTGGAAGAAAACACTTCTTGTGTTGACAAGTCGTTAGGTGGTGGTTAAAATCAAAAGGTTCACGCGAACGTTGCCAAGACCAAAGAGGAAAAGGAGGAAACGCCGAAAGGATCTAAAGAAAACCCCAAGAAGGAAGACAACCCCAAGAAAGGGGGTGAGTCCAAAAAGGATTCAAACAAGCAGGACAAGGAGGGAAGGCGCCCAAGAATGGGGGAAACGCTAGCAGCGACGCCTCTGAAGCTCCTGCTCTGCTGCCCCTGCACCCTCAACTCAACTCCGAAGAATCAGCAGAAAGGATCCGGAAAGGGGACCTCTGGGACTCCAAGCGAAGATGCCGCGCATGTACTTCGCCTTTGATAGCTGCGCAAAAGACAAGTGTGATTACAGCCTAAGGGACTGAGGACCCCTAGCTGGTGTTGCCACTGTGGCTGCAGGCGCCCTGCCCGGCGCAAATGCTGCAAAGGTTTCTCAAAGCTGTGAATTCT